AGAATGAAGATTGACTGTGCGTCCTGAGCCTTGGCCTTGTGCTGTTACTTTTGCTTATAAGACTTAGGCAAAATGATGTGGCAAGCAGAGTTATGGGAACAATATGTGTCCTTTTTTTCAGATTCGTATTGCCAGGCAACATTGATGTGTTGAATAACAACACCTTTTTCTAATTAAACATTACTTTCAGACAATACTTTGATCACTAGGGCCTATTCACACTACAGCACTATTTTGCTGTATGAAAAAGGCATGCTAAGTAGAGATCACAGCTTTTCTATGTGGCTGGTTCACATCTATGAACTACAGTTTAATGTGAAAGACATTGATACAAACAATAAGATTTTTTGAAAATTTCAAAGCTGAGTTGAACTTTTCCAGAAAATAGCCTATGCATTCAAGGGGCCTCAGCATTATAAAATGATCATTAATGTTATTGTTTTACCCGTAGGCTATTTGGGTCCCCTCAGAAACCTGGCTGAAAAACTCCTAGTTAGCAACTCCCACATCTTGCATTGTTGATAGCATGCAAAAACCATTGTTTTTCATTCTTGCAATCCTGGGAGTGGGCATCCAGTGGTTTTCATGTCTTAGCAACAAGTCAGGACATGGATGTAGCTAACTAGAAATTTTTAAGCAGGCTTCTGAGGGTACCCAAATGTCCTACAGGTAAAACAATACAATTAATTATTTTACAAAGCTGAACAGATTTTTTAATATATACTGGGGGCTCTTGACTGCATAGGCTATTTTGTGGAAAAGGTGATGTTTTGCTTCTGCAAACTAAGCACTGAAAGTGTGATCTCTATAACTGGTCTAGTTGTGGTGAGATAGCTTAACTTACAGTCTCAGTAGCATGGCAGACAGTAAATCAATCCAAATGACATCTTGCAGATCATAGAAAGCTTTAATCCAAAACTTGTGCAGACTATAACAGATGAACATCAGATAGGTAAAAAAATCAGTGTGTTAGCAGAATGCAGTACATGTGGTGAATGGAGGCTAAAGCATGAAGAAGGGTGCGACTAACTACATAGAGTTACCCCTAGCCACGAAATGAGATAAGGACAAAATTATTTAAAGGCAAAACAAACAGCAATGCATGTGTTATATGATAGGTGACCTTAACGTTAAAGATACTGCAAAATCATAAACTCAATATAATGTAGTATTTAATATTATTTGATTAAAATCTGCAAGCTAAAACAGGCTGGTACAAGTTACAGTCTTATATTGCTCATACACCCCATCCATATGAGTAACCCCATTATAATACACTCACCAGCCACTTTATTAGGTACACCTTGCTAGTTCTGGGTTGGACCCCCTATTGCCTTCAGAACTGCCTTAGGGCAGTTCACACTACATGTGTTTCACTGTGCTTTTTTTCTGCATCCAAAATGCACAGAATGTAGATTATATGGTTGTCAATGCCATAGTTCACATCAGTGCTTGCAGTTCCAGTGCGTTCCGGATGCAAAAAAAAAAGCAGAACAGAATGCATTTTTCCTGCACAGAACTGGAACGCTGTAAAACTCATCAAAAACACATTGGAATGCACTGGAATGTACCAAAACACACCACAAACGCACTGGAATGCACATGCCCCTATTTAAATTGAAGAAAAAGAGAGGGAAAAAAAATTAATTGGAATGCATCAAAAATGCACCAGAACGCGAAAAAAAGGCGTCAAAAATGCGCATGCAGAAATGCATCTGGAACACATCTGGACTGCGTTTCTATAGTGTGAACCAGACCTTAATTCTTTGTGGCATAGATTCAACAAAGTGTTGGAAACATTCCTTAGAGATTCTGTTTCAAATTGACATGAGTTACTGTTGCCTTTCTATCATCTTGAACCAGTCTGCTCATTCTCCTCTGACCTCTGACATCAAAAAGGCATTCTCTTCCACACAACTGCCGCTCACTGGATATATTCTCTTTTTAGGACCATTCTCTATAAACCTTAGAGATGGTTGTGTGTGAAAATCCCAGTAGATCAGCAGTTTTTGAAATACTCAGATCAGCCCATCTGGCACCAACAAACATGCCACGTTCAAAGTCACTTAAATCCCCTTTCTTCACCATTCTGATGCTCGATTTGAACTTCACCAGGTTATCTTCACTACATCCAGAAGCCTAAATGCTGCCATGTGATTGGCTGATGGGGGCTATAGTAGACACTCTCGATGCATTTTTTGGCCATAAAAATTCTACTTCTTCAGGAAAACCAGAGGGTAACCATTCTTCATTTAGCAATGCAACAACACAGCAGCCAGATTAAAATATGTTTACCATGCCTTTTATGCACACAGATCCAGTCCCACAAGAGATGACTGAGCCTAAGAACCACAAGGGATGGGAATGTCACCACCAGGGGTGGACTGACAACTCATGGGGCCCCCCGGCAATAGGGGATCATGGGGCCCCTGTGTCCTTGCCCAAACTCAAAAAAGCCTATGAAAAAGGTACCAGGGGCATCTCATGAGGCCCCCTACTGACCCCGGGCCCTCGGGCAGTGCCCAAGTTTCCAAATGGTCAGTCTGCCCCTGGTCACCACTCACCCAGACAGTTATCTTCCATAGGCATAATATGGCAAGCAATAATAAGAGTTATAAAGTGCCCTCCTATTTCTCCTCAATTATGAAAAAGATTCCACCTAATAACAGTGTGCTAATCTGTATATATCGTACATAATGTTGCCTGTCCTAATATAGCCACTGAGTCATGTTGGACAACACCCGGGGATGCTTCTTTAAGGAATGCCTATTTACAATTCAGACTTCCCTGGCTTTTGAGGTCATAAAGATGGGCACAGTTGTCCCCAGTGGTTGGCTTATCTGTTAATTCCATGTGTATAGTAGTCTCAGATGTTGGGGGATTCCTTACCCGACAGGTGGTTCCCTTGGAAGTGAAATACAAAGTGAAACTTTATAGGCTCACTTACACCTACACGTGTGCATTACCACATCCGCACCATTCACAGGGAACAGTGTCAATCTAGCTTTTTAATATGTTACATATTTACAATACCTGATTAATATTTACTAACCTGAACTGAGATTGCTCTTAAAGTACACTTCAGATACTTAAAGTGGAACTTCACTCTCTCAATTAACATTGACTATTTTGAATCCTTATGCTGCTAGCAATAGTAAATAGATAGGATAGTATATGATATTTACTTGTTTTAAACAGTTGTTTTTCCATTTCTTTAGTTACTTACTGGTTTCAGTGTCTAGGCAAATGATGTCATCCATCTCAGGAGTCTGGAGGAGGTGTTTTCTCAGTTGAGGACACCCTCCTGCCTTTATGCCTGAGCTAAGGGCAAATGGATTCCAGGAAGTAAATGCTACATGAATCATCTGCCCTCACTCAAGATGGCCGCCGCCAGAAATGCTAGGGGATGTGTTCCTAAGTGATTTCTCAGCAAAATAAAGCTTGAAGACATGGATGAATGGGGGAGTTTGCTTTAAGTATTAAGCTAGACATGTGCAGAAAAGAAAAATTTGTTTCGTTTTGTTTAATTTCATTATATTACTAGTTTCCTTTCATAGATTTGATTTGGAATTTTGTTTAGTTTAGTTTAGTTTATTAATTTTCTAACGAATTTCAAATTTTCAGAACAATTCTAATTCGAATCTACTGCTCCAAATTCTGTGGGAAAAATAGTTGGTTGTTAAGGAGAGGGTCGGGAAGCCGGCCTGTGCGTCCTTAACATCTGATGACTCATCAGCTGTCAGTGGATTTCCGCACTGACAGCTGAATGTAGACAAAAGAATGTCGACAATGAAAAATAAGGAATATAAAAAAGTGGCAGATGGCGCTGCTGTCAGATGGCGGGAGCCTTTGTTGGGTGTGTTTTAATAAAGGTCTTATTAAAAACTGATAATGTGTTTTTACTTACTTTTTTGGTGAATGAGTAGGGGTTCTATGTACCTCATACTCATTTACATGGGGGAGGATCTGGGGCCCCCTTGTTAAAGGGGGCCTCCAGATTCTGATAAGCCCCTAGCCCACAGACCCCCACAACCACAGCCCAGGGTTGTGAGGAAGGGTTGCGATTAACATGAGAATAAGGTGATTTGGAGGGGGCCCATGTTGAGGGCATGCGGCCTGGTATGGTTTGGGGAGGGTCTTGCTTGCTTTACCCCCTCCTTTCCTGACCTGCTGGGCTGCATGCTTGAATAAGGGTGTGGTATAGATTTTGGGGGAGACCCCACTTTTTTTTTTTTGGCATGGGGTTCCCCTTAAAATCCATGTCAGACCCCCACATTTTGTTCTTTATTTTTCATTGCTGACATTCTTTTGTTTACATTCAGGTGTCAGTCGGGAAACCCACTGACAGCTGATGAGCCATTGGTTGTTAAGGATGCAGCAGCCGACTTCCCGGCCCTCTCCTTAACAACCAGCTATTCTTCACACAATTCGGATTGGGCGATACGTTTTCGTACTGATCATTTGGAATTAGAAAACAAAGCAAAATGAATTTTATTGAGATTTGGATACATCCGAATTACAAAATAACCAAAAATTAGTTCAAATTTAAATACGAACTGAAACAACTTGTCCAACTTCAGCCCAGCAGCGAGTGGACCGATTGTACGTTACTACAGTATATTCATGAGAAAGTGTGTTTGCCACGCGTGTTCTAAAGCAAGTGCTTAGGAAGGCTACAGTTCTGCTGTTGTAGGAAAACTGATAACCTTAGTTTTTTTGCACTGCCCACTTTCCCTGAAATAATGTTGGTTTTCTAAGTTGCTTTAAGTTCTGCTTTAAATTTTGAGGACAAGCTTTAGAGTGTATCCCCTTCTTCAGTCATTTATCTCGTGTCAAGCAGATTCCTATTCATAGTTCAACAGTTTTCCTTTCCTGAGAATATTTTTTTTAATCCCTTTAAGAACCAAATCCTTCATGACTTCCATAGACAGGTATAGATGTGAGAAATTATGTCCCTCAGGTGTGCCATAATCATCTTCTTTGTGTTGCATTTTCTACAGGGGAAGCTGCCTGTGCTGCTATTGGGTCGATCAGAAGATCTCCGGCCTGGTGAGTTTGTTGTGGCAATTGGAAGTCCATTCTCTTTACAGAATACAGTCACAACAGGTATTGTGAGCACGGCACAACGTGGTGGGAAAGAACTGGGCTTGAGGAACTCTGATATGGAATACATCCAAACTGATGCTATCATAAATGTGAGTGCTTCATAGTTATTGAACCTCCTTAGCATTTGCCAAAGCATGCTAATTATGAGTCTGAAAATTATTTTTTCTTTTTTTTTTTAATATACTGTATGTTAGTGATTTTAATTGTAACTTGACAACTGGCATTGGCAGTAAGATAGATAGTAACAGATAGTAAGATAGATAGTAACAGGCTCCTATTTAAATAAACTGTTAACATATGGTAATAATATGGTAGAGACTCCATATAAGCGCAGGAGGAATTTGTTCTTATATGCAAATAAACTGCTTTCCCCTTCTTACACATTTGCATATCCACTTGCCGTGGTACACTCTGGCCAAACTCTCTGTCTGGAACTCACATGACACCTGCAATGTTCAGCCTTTTCCCATTTTTTTCCACAATATCTCATCATGTATTACCTCATTTAGTATGGCTTGTGTCCCGACTTGGCATTACCAGCACCAATGTCTTCCTCAGATCTTACCAACTCCATGGGCCCAATCTTATGTCTGATATAGCTGTAAATTCTGAGCTATGTTTTATGCAGAACACGTTTTTCAAGGAGTTTGTGTTTACCATGAGGAGATCATTGATTGTTCTAGCAGTTCAAGAGGTGAGAGCACCAAAGAACAATTTTACAAATTAAGTTTATCTTTTTTGTACTACCTGGATATCAGGACACAGCTACGGGGAAATTTAATAACGAAGAGACTGCAGGGGCTGTAAAGAGCAGTCACAAGTCTTGATTTTGTAATGTGCATCCTTCTTTCTCTGAAGGCAGCTGACCAATAGACTATATAATGCATTCCAAATTAAACTGACCCTGAGGCCTGATTCATGCCTCTGCAATTTTCAGTGTGTTTTCAGTTTAGCAGAAATGCACTACAGTCCATTTTACATAGTTTCCTTTGGGTCACCTTCACATCTGTGCATTTTTTTGGAAAGGGTCAGGGACTTTTTTCTTGCAGCATTTTCCATTTTTGGTTCCATAGACTTCAATGCAAACACATAAAAAATGCAGTGCTTTTGTTTTCAGAGTTTTTGCTGGGGTCTTCTGCAGGACAACAGACACCTCCCAAAAACGCAAAATACACCAAAAACAAATTAAAAATGTGTAAAAAACATGTGTGAAAAAAACACAAAGCATCAATCGCAACTTGCATAGGTGTGAAACAGGCCTCAAAACAGAAAAGGAGGTATACTGTCACAGTTCTAGGTATATATTGATCAGCAGAAGATTAAACTTGGAGAAAACTCACACTGTCCAGTGCCTTAATCCACTAAGGCTACTTAGCTGCAATGCTCCATTTGGAATCCCATGTTTTGGAATCCAATAATGGTATGTTTGTAAATAAAAAAAAGTCTGGTTGGTTTAAAATATGGTGTTAAAGGATAAATTCACATTTAAAAAAATAAATAAATGCACATCTTTTGCAGGTAAAGAAATGTGCATTTTTTGTATTAGGAGCCTGTAAAGCATTGCATTCACGATCTGCAGATTGCGGGTATAATGCAGGTCTCTTGCAGACTGTCAGTGTAAGTTGTCTGCTCTTACCTCATACGGGAAGACAGTTACACACTGACAGGATCAGCAGCAATGAACTACCTAGAGCCATCAACAGCGCCGTGGTAGTTCATTGAGAACTACAAGCCAACAGCTGCAAAGGCTGTCAGTACTTGTAGTTCATTCACTCACAGAATTTATAAATAAATGACGTCGACATGTGGGTGTAGCCCCAACATGGACACAATTATTTCAGATAGTGACAGCAGGTATGGGGAGAATATCCCCAACTTGCAGTCACAGGGAGTGGGGAGTGGGGGGATCAGGGAGCAACTGCAGGACTGGGAACATGTTACATGTGCCACCCTAAAAATGGGTGGCACATGTAACATGTTCCCAAAGGCGAACCTATTCTTTAAGCTTTTAAGATAATATCACATGGCTGATTACTAATCAATTAAACAATGGGAATGAGACAATACAGACCATTACCCTGACAGGTACTAAAGTCAATTGAATAGGAAAATGATGAACATTGGACTGCAGTCCATGGACTTTATAGGCACCACACCAATTGTTATAAAAAAATTTAAACTTTAAAAATTTTAAGTAAAACAATTTAAAAATAAAGTAAAAACAAATTAACCACATGACCTCTGGAAGATTTACCCCCCTTCCTGACCAGGCCATTTTTTGCTGTATGGCGCTATGTTACTTTAACTGACAATTGTGCGGTTATGCAAAGCTGTACGTAAATTAAATTCATTTAATTTTTTCCCCACAAATAGAGCTGTCTTTTGGTGGTATTTGTTCACCTCTGTTTTTTTTTTATTTTTTGTGCTATAAACCGAAAAAGACCAACAATTTTGAGAATAACACCCCAATATTTTTTACTTTCTGCTTCAAAACATATCCAATAAAAAAATATAAAAAATCAAATTTCTTCATAAATTTAGGCCAATATGTATTCTGCTACAAAAAATCCCAATAAGCATACAAGATAGGTTTGTGCAAACGTTATTGCGTCTACAAACTAGGGTATATATACTGGAATTTTTAATTTTTTTTATATTAGTAATGGCTGTGATCAGCATCTTATAGCAGGACTGCGATATTGCAATGGACAATCTGACACTAACTGATACTAACTGACACTAAACCAGTGGCACTAATACAGTGATCAGTGCTAAAAATATACACTGTCACTGTACTAATACCACTGGCTGGGAAGGGGTTAAACATCTAGGGTGATCAAAGGGTTAAATGTGTGCCTAACCAGTGCCTAACCAGTGTTTATATGGGTACTATAATATAGTGTTTTTACTAAGAGGTGTGCTGGATTTTATTCCCTGCTTTGCAGGGAAACAAAATCCAGCACATCGCCACAGACAGGACACAGCTCGGCCTTGTTTGCATAGGCAGAGCTGTGTCCTGTCTCTCTCCTTACCCATCAGTGGGTACCGGTGATCAACCATTGGCCAGCACCCGCTGGTCAACTTCTGCTGTGACTAATGACAGCAGAAGCGGCCCGCTAGGGGTGCGTGTGCCCTACCAGGAAGTGCAGATTCATATATATATATATATATATATATATATACTGTATACATTATCCTACATACAGCGGCTACCCTGTAGCAGTAAAGCGGCTATATAAGACATAGTAGCATCCTGCACCCTTAAGTCAATTATGGTGGTGGCCCCACACTCATGGAGGAAGTATCCAATATTCAGGCTAATGGTACAGATATAATCATCCTTGAGTTGCCATTATCCATTCAGATAAAGCTTGACATGTTTCATGTTTTTTCCTTTTTCAAAAGCAGAAGGTGCATATGTTGGACTACTACCCTAGAAATAAAATACATGCAAAAAAAATAAATTGAGTATTATATAAATACAATTATTTGCAAAGATGTAACTCAAACATTATCACAGTCATTGCACTTACAAAGCATCAGCAAGGAGGCATTCCAAAACTGGTCTGCCACAGGAGACAACACATCCCCCCAAAAAAAAGAAAGGAAAAAATTTCAATAGTACTTCAGGAGCTGATCACATCTAAAATAAAAAAAAACACATCAGCTGTAAATTCAAGGCAGACAAGGCAGAATTAGTCCAAATAAATTGTGACAGTTGTATGCCTCTCATGTCATCAGGTTAGTATCTGAAAAACATGTCTATCTGTCTGATTTTTACTATGAATGTGCTAAAAGAAGACAAGAATGTAATAGCTGAGACAGCACTAACTGTAAGTATCTGTTTATCTTGCAGTATGGAAACTCAGGAGGACCTCTTGTGAACCTGGTAAGAGCTCATGTCCTCCCTGCCTGTAGGTACTGGTTCTATGTGTAGAGCCATGATGTGCTGTCAGTACACGTTGATTGATAGAGCCTGGCAGGAGGTTAGCTGTACTGGCATTACATTACTGTATGACTCAGATGTATGTGGTTGGCAAGACTTTCAGAGGGAGTTGGTGTCACTGACTGACTAACCCTTCACACATGTAAAAGTTCAATAGATCTAAACTTTGTGGATGTTTAGTCACTGGGGAAAATGTAAGTTTCCATCCCACTGACATGTTGATCATTTAAAAAGTAAATCCGCACAGGAAATCATCATGTATCGGAAGTGTTGCAACTTTTTTAGTGGGAGGCAGAAAATAAAGATTAATATAGAAAAAGGATTACCTTTGATGGGACGACAAACTTAAAAAAAAAACATCAAGCCCTGTGTTTATTCACAACCACCATATGTATTTTCTTCCTGAATGTTCCTACCTTTATTCATGTACTAAGGCTTTTTTTTTTTGTTAGGTGTGTCCCTCTCTGGTTCACTGCTTCCCTACTGACCCTTTGATCACATTTTGGGGTAGATTTACTGAAAATGTTGCACACAGACTCTGGAGTAGCTGTGCATGGTACCCAATCAGCTTCTAAATTCAGTTGTTCAAGTGTGTTTAATCAACCTTTGAGAATAAAACCTGGAAGCTGATGGGTTTCTATCCAGGGCTGCACCAGATTTTGCACTCACCAGTTTTAGTAAATAACCCCCTTTATGTCTGTCTCACCTGTGCAATATTATTTTCTTCATTCCTTCTCTTTATCTTTAGTCTTCTGCCAATTTTCTTCATCTCTTGTTCTAAGTGTCCTTACCTTTAAGGACATTTTCCTTTAAATTATGATTTAAACTAAGTTTAAAAATAACATTCCTTACACTTGATAAGATAAAGATACCCACCCACAAAAAGAAAAAGAAACTCATCTCATATACCTTCTAAAGATTTTGCGTAAATCCATCCCAAAAAAGAAGAAACAACTTCCATCCATGTTTTGTTCTAAGTGTCCTTACCTTTATTCATATCCCATGTCTCTTTCTTTCTCTCCCCTGCTTCATCTTTGTCTTTATCTGTACCCTTCTCTTTCTTTCTGAGTAGTCTTCACCTTTTTACCATGTCCTTCATTGCTTCCATTGCTCCCTTGCCCTCCCTCCCGTCTCTTCCTTTTCTCTTTTCCTTTTCCCTTCCCTGATACCAAAGGTTGAAGGAAAAAAAATAGCATAATCGACCAATCAACAGTAATAGCCGCTGGCAGTAATCGAACGAAAAAAAAAACCCCAACAGGCTGGTTGTACTGAATTCTATTGATAGATCGACTTCAGTACAACCAGCCTGCCCGTACAGGAATTAGTCAAATTTCGATCTGTCTATGGATGGCTTAAGGATAGGGTGAGTTTCATCAACAATGGAGAAACCCATCTTCTAAACATTCAAGGGGTTAGTTCATTTTTATTTAAATTTTCCCCAAAAATCCCTATGTATTATAACATCGTCCACGCATTAATATCCAGTCCTCCATTTTATAAAGGGTTGCTAACTTTTAAAGCTGCTTTTTCCATTGCACTCCCCTTTCTGTTCTGCATATGGTAAGCCATATTGAGCATTTCGATGCATGGCTCTGGCAACTTAGGAACAAGCACTCAGCTTCATTTCCTACCCACACATGCGCAGTCTGGTCTATTTCTTTTTTTTTTAAATTATATAATCACTGTTTGTTGAGATTTTGTACAAGACATAGTTAGTCTGGCTGAAAAAAAACAAAAATCTATCCAGTTCAACCATTAAAAAAAAAGTTATAATCCTATACCCACAGTTGATCCAGAGGAAGACAATAGTACAAAAAAAACAACAACACACATACATCAAAAAGGATCAGTGTTTGCAAGATAAGTCCTGACAGTGATACAGCATGATAACAGGGGTAGATTGCAGTTCAACACATTGTGCCCAAAGGCCAGATAAAGTACATCAACTGATATACAAATCAAAGTCTAACTTGCAAGCAATAAAGACGTACACAGAGAAGTACTGTAAAAATTCTATGTACCATCCTCTCAGGACCACATCCAGCAAAAGGAAGAAAGAAAAAGTAACAAGACAAATACCAATGAACTATGATCACAATTAGGGCACATCTAATACCATCCATTGGTGAGTAACCATCCCCCAAAGAACATGGGTGTAGAGGGAATGAGCACCTCAAAATCCATATCTAACTTAAAAGACAAAAATATGATAGGACATGTCTGTAAAATGCCAAGGTTATCATAGATTTGACCTAGCACTACATAGAGGCTTAAGATTCACACGGGGACTAAAATGTGAACATAGGGGGGGCACTATTAAATCCAGTAAGGAATTTAGTTAAGCATCTGGGATCTCATTAGAGTAATACATCCACACTGACCCAGTCTGGTCTGTTTCACTCTCCCAAAAAGCTGGGCTGCAAAAGAGTGAGGACTGCGCATGCATGGGTAAGGAATGAAGCAGAGTGCTTGTCTGTGAGTTATTGGGGCTGTGTATTCAACTTGGATCAATATAATATAAGCCCAGTCAGGGAGCAATTTGTATTCATTGAAAAAATGCAAAGTGTTCTGTAAATTGTGCTTGTGCAATTGAGTTACCTCCTGTGTTCTGTAAGCAGCAGAGCAGCCACTCAGCATGGGACCTGGACTCAAGTAGAGATCACTGGAGTAGTGGTGCCTCCTACAGTGATTTTCAGCTTTCAGGAGGATCGGCCAGGCATATAGTTACATTGGTTTAAGCTGGAACAAAGTAACTATGTAAAAACATATCCATACTTGGAACTATTTTTTAAAGCTGTAAATAGACATTTTAGATGTTATACCTCCATGGTTACAGCTGGAACACAAATTAAAATTTTCACCTCAGAGTAAAACAGAAACCAACAGGCACATATGGAAGATATGAGACATGAAACACCAAGGACCATTCTATCACTTGACCCAATGAGGGAGATTTACTAAAGCTGGTGAATGGAAAATCTCAATCAGCTTCCAGGTTTTATTGTCAAAGCTTAATTGAACAAGCTGAAGTTAGAAGCTGATTGGTTACTATGCACAGCTGCACTAGATTTTAAGTGCACCAGTTTTAGTAAATTTCCCCCAATGGGTAAATCATCAACTTACTTCTTGAGCACCACAACCATGCTCAGGACACGTTGAACATTGCTATTATTAAGCCGTGCTCTCTTGATGTTGAAAACTTGCAAGCTGTCATCTAGAAATGTTGTTTCCATCTGGCGGGGATAGTGTTTCCTCGCTACTTGCCAACCACACTTCATTAACCGGCATTTTCCCCTTTTCACCACAGGACGGTGAAGTGATCGGAATAAACACTCTAAAAGTTACTGCTGGCATCTCATTTGCTATCCCATCTGATAAAATCCGCAAATTTCTCGCCGAGTCACACAGCAGGCAATCCGCAGGTGAATGTGAAGCCGCTATCTGACCTTTTATATGCTTCTAGTGAATAGTCGTCTTTTTATCATCCCAGATTACATGGTGCATGCCAGCCTGCCCACTTACTGGTTTGTGGCTTAAATGTAAATAAAGCAATGGGCAGGTTTATTAAAGGGCTGTTATTAACATAGTGCATAGAAATAACAGTCCCACACACGTTGTAACCTATCCTTTTGCTGCAAACAGCAATGTCAGATCAGCACTATGTCCACATATTATACCAACCGATGTTTAGACACCAAACCAACAAGCAAATTAATAGGTAGATTTAATGCCTATCTGTCTAGTTTGAATAATAAACTCGACATGCAGCAAAGTAGTAATACATTCTCAGAGGTTTTTTATCTGAGCACAATAAAATAAACATTCCACAGTAAACAATTTTTTCAAATTCTTACTCCAGCACTTCAAAGCTGCAGACTCTTGCTCTGGCAGTTCTGCTTCCCTGAACTTCCAGTCTTTATAGGCAACAGTTAATAGGGGACGGTGCAGTCTGAAGTTGGTCTGTTAGCTTGGGAGGTGCAGTAGAGCAGTTTTTCGCCCCTTGTCAACCTAGGCTATGGGGCTGTATGTTTCTGTTGATGCACAACTCTAGTACCTGCTTGCAAGGGTGGCTCCATAAGATGTTGCAAGAGAAAGGAGCTACCCTGAAACAATAAACCTGGGGCAATGGTTATGGCACCAGTTTAAACTAGAAGATAGGCAAGGATTAATGGATAAAGAAGCTACAGATTCAGTATTTGATGAAATCAGCTGCTAAAAAAAATGAAAGGATAATATTACACTTTAAAGGTAACTGTTTTTCACTGCAAAACCCAGTCAGTCAATATTCACAAATGTACATTTATGAATCGGCACAATACTGCCTAGTGAGCAGTCATCACAATGTTTTGGAGTCCTATTGCCCTGTTCAATCAAGTAATAAGTGAAATACTTGATCCTTGTCTGGTTCTGTGTCAATCCCTTTGATAATCTAGCCCAGCTATTCTCAGCCAGTTTCCATGGAACCTTAGGGTTCCTCCAGAGGTTGTTAGGGGTTCCTTGAAGAGTAGCTGATTGACCTTCTGTTTCTGCTGCAAAATGTCAGGGCCAATGCCACTTGGGAAAGCCAGCTACATGACACCAATGATCTATTTAATTATCTGTTAAGGTGGCATTCTGGCCACCACTGTAAGGGGGTATTCTTTCCACTGGCAACCAATGAATTGATTTTAGTAGGCCTGGAAATTATTCCAAGGGTTCCTGTGGCATAGGAAGGCTGAGAGGCTTTTCTAGCCCTAACAGAAAGCACTGGCACAAGAAAGTGAAAAAATATGCTCAGTGAACCGCACATACCATATAAAACCTGCCATACAAGTGAATAGTTGTATGTGGCTGCACTCTTGTAAATGTCGATGTTCTTGTGCATCACCATTTACTCGCACATGCTCATATAACATATTGCTTGAATGAGGAAGTTCTATGTCTGGGAAATACGTTCTACAGGCTTTGGTGGCAAAGCGGCGAAGTGTTGCTATTTACAAAGGTACGGCCATATACAGCCATTCACTTGTACAGCACACTCTATATGGCACCTGCTGTTCTGCGGGGGCAGGGAAATGGCTGGAATTTTACCTCCAGCATTTTTTTAGTCTTTCACCATCTGAGTGCATTTTATGGATAGTGAATAGCGTAGGAAAGGGTTTAGGACCTGTGCCAAGTTCTGTTGTTGTGTGTGTCCCCATTGGGAGGATTCACTCTCAGTATTTGTCCTGGTAACTGTTGTCACTAGGACAGAAAGTGAGGGAAATCCCAAAAATTGGAGTTTGACTTCAGAGCAAGTTACAAAAGAAAATCCTTTAGTGGAGACACCTGTTCTTATGACAGCTTTTTAAGTTCTGGTTCACACAGCCAAATTATGCATCTTAGCCCGCAGCGCGATTGTGAGTCCGGGAACCACAGTGAAACCGCATGGTCAAAAAGACCATGAGGTTTTCCTGCTGTCACATTTTTAAAAAGGTACATTTTTGTGCAGGAAATGCGGCACAGCAGCCCATTCATTTGCCCGAGCAAACGCCTGCAATAGTGTGAACTGAGCCTAAGATGGGAATTCTGTTCAGTTTGAGGAGATTTCCTCCTATATTTCGTTGCTTCTCTAGGTCAAGGAGTGAAGGGAAATTTCCCCTGCAAGTCACAGACAGCAAAACCTTGATAAGGGTTTTAATCATTCCTTACTATCTTATGGGCTAACTCCACCTTTTACATCATATTACATGTTAAAGTGATACTAAACCCAGGAACCTGCATTCACTATATCTGATCTCCCTCAGTACACACAACATGGAAATGCAATTATTTTAGTAAATATAGACTGCTATATTCCTTTTCTCATCAGCAGTTAGAGCAGTCTTGTGACTTCAGCAGAGCACTGGTAAAGCTTGTAGGAGGAGATTTCTTTCTGCTCTAGGAGGATATGGAAGTCCTAACCCTCTGTCTGGACAGTGCTGATTGGCCCTGATCATATGCACTCTGCCAAGGAATAAAAAAAAAAAAACCTCTCTAGCAATACACACCAAACTGAGTATGCACATGTGACCATAGGTTCAGTTTGTATCAGGTATGTGACCATAGGTTCAGTTTGTATCAGGTGGCCATTTCAACAAGAAGAGGGGCAGAGAAGAAAGGATTAAACAGCCTTTTTACACAATGCAGAGGATTAACCCCTTAGGTTCCACAGTGAGCTTAACAGCAAATACAGACTGATTTTACTGATTCCATTGATTGTGGGTTCCAGTGATTCCACTGATTGTGGGTTCCAGTGATTCCACTGATTGTGGGTTTAGTAACATTTTAAGACCACTTTTACGCTCCATTCACATTGGCTTAAAAACTGCTGTTTCTACAGGAGTTTTGTGTTTTTCCTGTAGAAGCAGCTCAGTGTTATCCTATGGGTCCATGCACATTAGAATGATTAGAGACATATTTTAATTCCAACATTTAGAGGCAGGAGAAAAAACCCTTCTGGTTTGCATTTTTGATTGGAGCTTTCTAGTAGAAAAAAATGCTGAACTCCTCTAAACTCGCCTAAACTATATACAAAAACACTCCATATCAGTCAAGGGAGAAGGCGGTTTTTTAAACCCAGTGTGCATGGAGCCCTAGAATTTAACATGGTTGCAACAAATGCTGTCTTCAAGCACTTAAAGCTGAATTATCTTTTTTCCTTATCACAGGAAATTCCTATGATATTTAAGGCTATCTAGTGGCCAAATGTGGTATTTTCTGTTTTTAATGAAAACATTCCACTTGCACAGGAAATAGCCTAATAAGATTCATTTTTTGTCCCATTCCCATAGGGTGTACTGGTTTGTGCACTTTCGTTGGACAAATTGCTATGTTTTTTTTTGTTTTTAGAAATCCACCCCTGAGTTTTGAATTTGTGTACGTTTTTGTCTTGGTTCTCTCAAGATCAACAAACTATAATATGGTTGTCCGACCCTCAGGCCGCCCTACAATTCAGATGTAATTTTATATCAGTGTTTTATTTTGTGTTTTCTAACTGGAGTCCATTTTGCAGGTCAGGGAATTAAGAAGAAAAAATACTTGGGTATAAGGATGCTGTCGCTTGGTCCTAGGTGAGATAAACAATTACTCAATACCTTTAAAGGGGACATTTTGTATTTTATAGGTATTTTATAAATGTATTATAATAGGCTTTGCTTTCAGTGTCTCACACTACTTTTTAGAATCTATAACAGGGCTGTAAAACTCAGACCTGGGATCCCATAATGCTCAAAATGTTTTAGGTTTCAAATTCATATTCAAGATGGAATAAAACAAGGATTGTTCAGTAAACAGTAAACAAGGACAGTTATGTCTGTCCCAAAAATGACCATGTGGTTTATCAGCTGTACATACTATTCTTCCCTTTACTACTCTGCCGCTTTGTATAGCTTCCAGGAGCGAAGAGAAGTTCCTAGTACTTCCAAGTATGGGGAAGGTAATTGGCTATTGCAACATTCAGCGCTGTCAAATGAGGACACTCACCCTGTGAAAGCTCCAAGTTGCAAGCCACTCAGATTGACTATCCATTACAAATGCCCTTAGTGGTTGTTACTAATTGCTGTTTTTCCTCAGTAGCTTTTCTTAGATACATTTTTTTAAATTTTCTTTATTTACTTTTTAATCTGCCGGTCCCTAGGAAATACAATGGCAGTTTAGAAAAATAATTTGATTTTAGTTTGCTCCCCACCACATAGCTGACATCAAATGTTATGCAGTGTTTAGTGCATGATCCGAAACCATTTTGAAGTGCTGTACTATCCATTACTGCAAGTAACAATGTTCTCATTACAGCAAAGTAAAGGAGCTCAGGGAACAGCTTAAGGATTTCCCTAATGTGACGTCCGGAGCTTACATTGTAGAAGTGATTCCAGATACACCGGCAGAAGAGTAAGTGCAACGTAAACTGTGTTTTGTTTTGTTCCCTTTTGGAAAATACAACAGAAATGCATGTAACAGCTTTGGATAAGCATTCATGTGGTAAAATTTATTATGGCGTTTCTAAGCGACATGAGAAGTAAGTGTAGCCATACCATCTTAAGGGCGATTGGATTTGTTTTGGGTCCCCCTAAGCTCTGCATGGCCAGACAACACACATTTTCCACACTTGCACACTTGGAGTCAGTAATACAGTCCTTGAGCTGGTTTTTAGTTGTTTTTATTAAGGGGTTAACAACTTGTATGGGGTCTAGGGGTATTTGAGATGCTCAAGGAACTGCAAACTTGAAGACAAACTTCTTAGCAACAATACTGTACAAAGATGTGGATCACAAATAGCAACTGTCTATGTTAAGGAGCACTGAAGTCCCCTTGGTGTACCTCCTCAGAACCCAAATTAATCCTCCTCTTCTCCCAGCTGCACTGGGGGTATCTCTGTGCAAGGGATGTCAAGATCTAGCAATTAAGTAGTCCCGGATGAGGACTAGTTGGGTCTTGCACCTGACTGCCCTCTCCCTTTATCTGGCCCAGGGGGTGTAGGAGTACTCACACTCTTCTGTCCTGTCAGTGTGGTGGGTTGTAGCTGCTTTCAGGCCTTTCGCTGGGCTGGTTCCTTCCCTGCTGCTCAGGCTGTTCTCCCTAGGAAACTTTGGGAAGTGGAGATTCTTCTTCCAGAAAACAGCCTGTAGGTAGACTCCCTTCCTCGGGGCCCCCTCTCAGGCTCCACACTCCAGCCTTCTCTCAATCCATCTTCCACCTGACTCCCCTGCTGCTCAGGCTCTGACAAATTAAAGGGTTGTCCTTGGTCACCATGCCTGGTCTTCTGCATGGGGATTGGCCAAGATCCCTCAAACATGCGGATCCGGGCCTTCTCCCCTCCTCCACCTCTCTTTCAGAAAGTTCTCTGAGTTTCTGGAAGGGTGGGAGGACTCCAGAAGCCCTGACCTGTAGAGCCTCCCATCCTGCACTGAGGTGAACTCCTGCCTCACTTCCAGGCTGATTTATCCCAGGCTACTACCCAGCCTCTAACTAACAAAATGACAAAGCCTATCACTAGAGGGCACTAGTCAAGCATGTGATTGATACTAGCATGGGCAATTCAAACCAAGCGTATTATGAAAAAGATAACCACCACAGGTTGCCTGCCATGAAAACTCTGGTACAATGATTAGTAAATCCAGCCATCGTAAAAAAGAAGTTTAGTCAAAAATAATGATTTTCTACAGCTATAGTTGTGCAGTCTGCTGAATTCTGTCCTCTTCTGCCACTGAACCTATGGCGCTGTTGGTGTTAACAGCTTAGGGTCTCCAGGCTCAGTCACACTAAAGATGATCCACCAGGAACACATCCTGCCCTCTCCTCCAATAAGAAAAGTTCCTTCACTGTAACATGATCTGTGAATGGGAGAAACTCTGATCAGTCACAGGTTTTTCCTTCATTCAGATACACAATACAGATTGTGTAACAGGCAGTGTAATCAGTGAAAGAACCAGAAAACAAGGCCAGCAGAAAATTAGCTTGTATTAAACAGGGTATCTCAACTATAATTCTGCTACTTTACAAAACCTTGGCTCTTGAGTATTCTGTCCAGTTCTGCTCACCAGTTCTCAGGAAGGATGTGCTGGAACTGGAGAGAGTCCAGAGAAGGGCAACAAAGCTATTAAGGAGAATGGTGGACCTCGGTTTTGAGAAATGACACAAACATTAAACGTATTCTCCCTGGAGAAGCAAAACTTAAGAATGGATATGATGGTGATATACAAATATCTTAATGGTGGTTCCAACATTGGGGGGAAGCTATTTAGTCTCAGGCCATTCAAGAAAACACATGGCAACTCAATGAAGTTGGACGAGAAGCTGTAGAACCATGAACAGCATAGGGGGTTCTTACTCCCTTACCTTGCTTTCAGCAGGAGGTGTCACTAATTTAAAATTTTTTTTAGATGGGCATCCTATTGAACATAATATACAGGGATATTGAAAATGGTAGAAACATAAATATACACACACACATGTTCCTTAAACTGGATGGACTGGCGTCGTGATTCATCCTTACCAACTTTTCTCAGTGAAGGAGAGGGCAGGATGGGGAATGTCCCCATGGGATCCTCTTTATTGTTTCTGAGTCTGGATACCCAAAGCTGTTAACCCTCATAGCACTGGATGTTCAGCAACAGGAAAAGGACAGGGCAGCTCTGCAGTGAAGATCTTTCCAGAATCCAGCAGCCTGCACATCATGGGACATACTCACTTACAGGTAAGTAATGTAACTAATCCTAAAGAAAATATATGGCATAACGTAAAGGTGTAATATACCAAATAATCTACCCCTAAGGTTAAAATATCCAATAGAAAGGACAATAAGAACAGAAAACACCAAAGCAATTAAGGAACATAAGCTTGTAAAAAATAAGGCATAATTTAAAAAATGGTTTGCCAGTGGGTAGGAATGATATCGGAAATCCAATCTCTATTAGCAGGATGTCCATAGGAATCAATGTACTCAGCAAAAGTAGCACATGGATAGGCAACACCTGAAATGGGAACGCATCTCTGCAAAGTAACAAACAAGACACGAGGGGTATAAGTAATATAACTAAAGCTTTAGAGAACATGTTTTTTTTTTTTTTAGCTAAACTTCAGCTTTATATTCTATTCCAGTTTTAGTGATCAGTATTGCTAATCCAGCCAGCTATGCATTCTAGACATTCTATGCAAATCTCAACTTTTTCCTGTGCCTTCCCACTCTGAATCTCCCTCTCTAGCTCTTTTGCTAAGTTTATTTTTCCAGCGCTGGCCAAACACTTCGGCAAATACGAGGTCTTAGAAGGTACCCTGAGCCAAACTACACTCTTCTGCAGTCATCTGGTATCATGCCATCACTATGAACAACATTGGGACACTATACCTAATGAACTACTGATCATTTTCACATGTAGTTTTAACTAGTTTACAAATCCACTTTTTGATGATATGCTCAGTTTAAATTTCCCATGTTTGTGACTGATCTAGTACAACCCATAATTGTATGACTAATACACAGACAGATTGGAAGGCCTTTACATGCCCCCTTCTGGTGACACATGTTATTGCAAATTTAGAAATTCCTGGTTAAAAGCAAACTATTGCCTTTTATATTTTTTATTATATAAATAAAAGTAAAAATGACTAAGCTTATGTACATAACTATATCGGTATGTTAATGTCTTTAAATATCTGGTTTCTATGTAAAGATTGTAATTATTTATACACTTAGGGCAGGCTTATGATAAGATAATTTGTTTTTGGTTTCATCACTTTTTGTATTTGGACACACATTTTATATTTTTTTTTTTAATTTGGTGGTTTTGGACATTTATTTTATAACCACAGAATTTATTATGATTTTTGTATAATTATTTTTGATTCATTTCATGTTTTGTGCTGTTTTATTGTTTCACTGAGAATAAAACAGACCAAAGAATCATGAATGGACAAAACACTGCTCTAACCTTGAGTTGTAAATGAAAGAAAATGAAAAGTTTGTGGGTGTATTGTCACTGGGGCTGGTGTCGCCTGAACACTCTCAGTCTCTTAAAAAAAACCTTCTAAAAAAAATTTAACAGCAAATATAAAGACACTGCTATTGATGAATATAATGGCTCAACCCCTTTCTCAGTGTGTTTGCAGCTTCATGAAATCACTCTCCTCTCTTCTCTATACACAGATATGACTACACAATAAAATCAGATACCCAATCAAATACAAAATGATAAGGGCCCTCGATCCCCTCATGTTTTGCATTGTATTGGTATTGTTCTGTCACATGTTCTGTCCCCCTTTGTAATGTACAGCGCTGAGCGAACCATTGGCGCTTTATAAATACTGTATAATAATAATAATAATATACAGTAGAGGGCATATCAATGGGTTCTATGCAAGAGTACAAGAGTAGCAATACACTCCCCCAAGCCACTAGATGGCACTAACATCCTTCCTCAGGCTATTGTTACAAAAGTTTGCAAAAAACACTAGTTTTGGAAGAATCATTAATATGATTGTTAAAATAAATGACAAAGGACACTGTGCTTAAGAGTGTGCTTTCCTTAACTAAGTGCAAAAGCTTAGAGTTCTGTGGCCTACATATTAAAAAGCCACATGTGCAATAGATAGGAAAGAAATATTTCAATTGCTAAGATGTTCTATTGTAAATATGTAACCCTAGTGGTAAAAAATGCTATTCTTTTTATGTTTACCGCATGGTAAGGTCCCTTTATTGTCAGAAAATAAAAGATTAATCTGATTTGACATGTTTTAGATTGGCTACCTTTCAAAAGGTTAGATGAGAAAATAGAAACTGACAGATGTGCTATAAAAGTTTGGGTAGTTTAATCCTGCATGATAATAATACTAGTTTTCAAATGGCAGCACGGGTGCCACTGATAATTTTCTATCAATGACCTGAGCAAGGATGTGGGTACCATCTAGTGGCTAGAGGAGTTTATTGCAAGCCTAATGTTTTCTAACATAGAACTCATATACTTGCTGAATATTTTTATAGTATGTGTACACCTACAAAAATGTTTTTACATTACTAACATGTAAGTAATTTTTATGTTTTTTTTTTTAATCATTCAGTTTCATTGTGTAGTAATTCAGTGTGTCTGGTTAGCACATATATCTCTAATGGTTTCATTAATCTCCTGTAAGGCCAAGATCTTTATTTCAAATGTTTTTCTTCATGACATTGACAGCATACCTCCCAACTTTTTGTGATAGGAATGAGGGATTCCTATTAGGAAAAGTATGTTGGCATAGAGCACACCCCCTTAAAGGATAATTATTTAAAAAAAATAAATATATATATATATATATATATATATATATATATATATATAGTGAGAACTCGCTTCAGATGGTAGAGCTTTTTTAAGGCACACAGCAACTCGATTCTTTTTAAGGGCCTTTTTCCCCAATTTTATTTGAAAGAAAGTTCAATAACCAAAATGCTTCCCACGCAGGGGTATCCACCATCAAACAAATGCAAATGACATTCAGCCTTCTGGCTCTCTCAGGTACACCGCTTTATGTCTGTCTCCTACAGACTCCTTCCCAAAGGTTGTTTTTTGCACACAGCGAACCTCTAGCACGCAGCTATTTTGGCTTCCACCTCTCTTAGGTGAAGCCCTCCTGACTCCAAGGCAGAGACCTCCTGCCTGCTGGGGTGGAGCCCTCCTGACCCCTGTCTGCCAGGGTGGAGCGCAGAATCATGGCCTGGCCTCCACAAAAAGGCCTGCACACACCTGTGCAATCAGCGCGCTGGCTGCTCTCAAAACATGGGCCCAGGATTGGAGATTTCATCCCTCCCAAATCTCTTAGAAATCTCCAGGCTACAGGTCCCAAAACAGGCTTTACAAACCAAAGAGGAAACTGATAAACCAGTTTCCTCTGCTTTATGGGAACTGCCTGGGGCCCCTCAACCTGTATGGTTGAGAATCCTGGGTCACCACCGTGATTTCCACCGTGGCAGTATACCACACTGCCACTATATATATATATATATATATATATATATATATATATATATATATATATATATATATATATATATATTAGTTAAACCCACAAGTGCTTTTTTCTAACCACTAACATTCTTTTTTACTGGTTTTTGAAATTTACCAATGCAGAAATTTAGAAACTGGATGAATGGTTTAGCACCGTGAAACCCTTTTTGAAAGATAAATGGTGCACTTTAAAATCAAGCATATAGATCAGACCGAAATGAGGGACAAATTAGGAGGAAACAGAGAGGGACTTTATTCTAAATCAGGGACAGTCTCTTGAAATCAGGGACAGTTGGGAGCTATGTTGACAGCACTCTAAGACATCTTTACATTTGCTGTTGGGTGTTAGCTAACGGGTCCTCATGGTAAATCTGAAGATGTTCTGGGGTTACCAATGCCAGTGAGGTTTTCAGCTTCACTTTATTTCCAGTTCACAGTTGGTAGAGCTGTGTCTAGCTTTTTATGATTCTCCTGGCTGCTTACTTTTTACAATAAATAACATCAGATGTACCTGTATATTATTGCTATACTAACTGCAATATTTTTATTATCCTTTATGGGAAGCATGTTGATCTGCACTGTCCTATGCACTCTCTATTAGTTTTTGTTGTTCAGCTGTAGTATTTACTTTGCCTACACTTCAGCAATCTCCAAACACGGAAAGGTTCCTTCACAGTGAGAGCTGTGAAAATGTGGAATAGACTCCCTCAAGAGTTGGTTCTGGCCAGCTCAGTGGATTGCTTAAAAAAAAAAGGCCTGGATTCTTTCTTGGATACACAGAATATAACTGGATCTGGATTTTTTTTTTTTTTAATGGTTGAACTGGATGGACTTTTGTCTTTTTTCAGGCAGACTAACTATGTAACTACACCTATAGGACTTGCAAAGACAAGTGCTGGTAGCAAGAGGTAGAAGATTACCTCCCTATTACACCACTGACTGTTTCTTGTGGATGTTCATGTGAGCACATTCTGATTAGGGGTTCTCCCATATTTTGACAACTTTCAGGTCTGTTAAGTAATCTATATGATTAACATTTATCTCAGATCCTCTCTGATATACAGATTTTTCAGTAGTTTTTAAAATCTTCCTATCACTGCTCATCCTGTATTAGCTATTTATGTACATGGTAACACAGTCATGGACACATGTTGCAGCAAATTTATGAAAACATGTGACAGCTACATAAAGAAATACATTAAAGTGTACATTTGCCAATGCTTGCCTTCATTTAAGTTCATCTAATTATTATTGATGTGACATTGATTGTTTCTTTAGGGCCGGGTTGAAGGAAAGTGATGTAATTATCAGTATCGGCAGTCAAACGGTGACCTCCAGCAATGATGTCAGTGAGGCCATCAAACAAGAAGGGCCCCTACGTATGGTAGTACGAAGAGGAAACGAGGATGTTGTCATCACAGTGACACCTAAAGAAATTGATCTTTAATGGAAGCAATGAGCTGGTTTCATAGGTCTTCCAATCAACAGGTATACATCTAGGCACTGCCTGTCAGAGGACACTGTATATAAGCACTGAGTATTAATGTGCCTCACCCAGGAGAACCCTTTAGCATTTCATTCCCAAACCCTCTGCCCATGCTTCTTCCAGAACTGACTATGTGCCCTAAACCCAAGCTATCATGCCGGATTCTGTGTCTTAACTGGACAAAAATGTAGAAATGTTAAAATAAATATTACATTTTAGAACCCATGGATTACATTTTTATAACTTGTTGATCATGTTCTGTGTTACTCTGAAATGTTGTTTAGGTTTGCGTTGTATTTTAAATCCACATGATGCCAACATGATGCATGCAACCAGTTTGCTACGGGAAGATCAACATAGAAGAATGTTTACATTCTACAGAACAAAGCTGTGCAGGGAAGCTGTTTTTGGCACAGAGTAGAGTGGACTGGGGCTCCCCTGTATGTGCCATGTATTTGGTCTTGTAACTTGTGGGGTGATATGTCCAAAAACAGGGGAGGCATCACACACTTTGCTCCAGGACAATGCTGCTTCCCTGTACAACTCTGCTTAATAGGATTTGAATGACCGACACCTCTTCATTTGTCACACTTTTTATAGAATGTAATTATAGACATGGGTGGCAGTGAAGGGGATTGGGCCTACATAGAGCAGGGGCCCAGTTGTAGCTGTGATGACTGCTGTGACCCCATTACATTGCCATTGCCGCTATCTAGTCTGCACTTTTGCCTTAGGAAGTAAATGCCTAGACCTTTCTTTTTTGGCTATGACATTTGTATGGCCAATATGAAAATACAAAATCTACAAGACAACCTGCTTCCTTTATAGCCAGGTTCTGGCCACCTAGAGCTGAGGTCTCTGTTTGGTGATTGTAGCTCATGTAGCATTTTGAAGCAGACATATGCAATTTACTATGCCTGTTTAGTGTTGACCTTTAGCTTTCATGAAACCTGTGAGTGGTTCTTGTGACCTTATGTTCCCCTGGCTGTAAATGCACTTTAGGCTCAGGCAAGTAGTTTATTATATGTAAGCTTTTAAGATAACAGAAGGCATTATCTTTTAATAACATTACATCATAACTCTGGCAGTACTACATCATTGCTATGGGGCAATCATTAAGTAGGTAAGCCAATGCAAAGAGTAAAAAGGATTTAGCAGTAAGAGATCGCAATCTTTCTTATGTCATCACTTAACAAAACTGTTGTATAGTCAACGGTAATCTAATTGGTTACTACTAAGGATTAAAAAATTCTTTGATGTTTGCACATGCAATGTCATGAATAGTACAGAAAGTTGAGAAATACATTATAGATACCATCGATGCTGAATTGGGTGACCTGCAGCCAATAAAAGTGTGGTGTGTGTTCTTGGGTAACAGTGCTCTACAAATGCCAGACAATTCACTTATATGTGCAACAACCTCTGTTAAAATATATTTTGTTCCATTAGTATATTGCAATATATGTTAAATGTTACAAGTGTGGTATGGTGATCTCTGTTGGCTTGTCTTTTATTCTAGTGAAACTGTGAGGACAGACATATGAAAAAGAATTACTTATTTGTTTTAAAGGTGTAAACAGACAGCTTACACTGCTTCGCTATCTAGTGAGTCTCTAAACTGGGACCAGAATGGAATCAACAAAGTCTGAACGTCCAACCTGGATTTTTATTTTCAGAGACTCCCCAGATACTGAAACCATATTCAAGTTGAAGTCCTGTAATCTGTATTTTTACAACCAAGTGAGCATTAGCAGTCCCAAATTTGAATCCTCTGATGTTTTCCAGTGATCTGAACTGGTTGCAGAGGAATTAAAATGCTGTTTTTATATTAATCGTCAGTAAGGACTTCATTTTGCTTAAATGAAATAAGCTTTAGAAAATGTAACATAACAGCTTTCCTCTTAAAATACCAGAGATGCACCAGCATATGTTTGTGGATATATGCTGCTGACCCCTAGAAGTAGGGGTCATCCAACCCAATGTGTGTGACAATGTAGTGTCTGGGTGGCCATGATCTGAGCATCTAAGAATTTGAAGCATGTGTAAGCTCTAACTGGAATGGCATTTAATTTGCTAAAGCACTGTATATCATAAACAATTGTCATTTTTGTTTAATAAAATAATTGTTTTCATCATTTTTTCCTCATTTGTTGTATCTCAGTGTTGGTGATCTTTTTAAGTGGGATGAAAGGCCTATCATAAAGCAGTGCACAGGAAATACCAGCATGGCTCACTGTGAGGGGGCATGAATAAACAGGCATTGTTTAATAGATGCAGCTTATTCTAAGTTTGAATAGAAAAGTAGAACCAGGCAGAGGACGATTTTTTTTATTAGAAAGGTTTTCCTTCATTTTTTATGTAGCAGGATAGCTTACCCTACCTGCAGTCCACTATTTTTTTTTATACTGTGTTACAGAGACTTGCACGGATCAAAGGATGGAACTTAGATTAAAAATGCAGCGCATGTAGTGTACCGCCTGCTGGGTCATCATTTGGGTGTGGCCACAAGGTGGGCATGGCCAATAAAGTTTAACTTGAAAAGTCTAAAGTGGTGCTGGACCAACCACCACCACACTTCTTTTTATCGATTTAAGGATTGGAGGCATGTTGGCCATGAAAAGGGATCCTACCACTCTCTGGAAAGGTGGCCAAGAGGTTAATTTATTTCAACCTATAGGATGGCAGCATGACATTTTCCCCTTGTATCAAATAGCAAAAAGAATGGCAACCAGTAATGATCTAATTTCCTTCATTGATCGAAATCTGGGGTCCTTGCACAGGCACTTCAGCATTAATAGGCCCATTTGCAACAAACTGCCTTCAGCCCTCAATATCGCTGATAACAACAGTGTCCTCACCAATCTCATCCCACCCATGTACAACTCACAGGGTTTGAGAGAGGTAAAAAGTACCTCTGGAAGTCTGGTCATGTCTTCCACCTCCTCCCCACCAGCACCCCAACCCTTTTGTGTTGATTCCTGCTAACTGCACAGGCCAAAAAGCCAAGGAAGGGGGCAGATTCCACCAGCTGGAGTGGGAGAAGCTGTGAAGTCAGCAATTTTGCCAAGTTGGCATTGGGGCACTGGGCATGGCACTGATTGGGGAACAACGTTTTTCCTACACTCCAGCAGCTGGGGGAGAGACAATGCATGGTCAAAAATGCTGCTGGAGACAGCAGTGTGGTATTTGGAGACTTGTGGCGAGGTTTAAACTATGCTCCATGGTAGATATTTTTTCAGAGGCAGTTGTCTCTTCACCACTTGTTTAACCCTCAAAAGTCCTCACCACCGTACTTTTTTTTTAGTAGGCCGCATTTGAGGAGTCAGTGATGAGGCACTTTTTCACTTGAAATAACGACAGTGGAGCTTCCCAGAAATATTGTACAGCCAGCACTGAATCAGTTGGAGTTGGACTCATTTTGAGAGGGAAAACAGCATGTTACAATGCTACAAATGCTGCATCTAAGTGTATATATGACAAAAAATGAAATAAATATTCTTCACACCACATAGACAGCATTTCAGCTTTCGTAGTAGGCCATATTTCAAACTTAACACAAAGCATGCAGATGTTCGGGCCAAATATATACAATAAAAGGATGAAATACTGTGCACACTGAATAAGTACTATTTATACCATTTCTGATGGGCTTTACTGTCAAAACCACATCCCATTTTAATTCTATATTTTTAAGGAGTACCATAGAAGTAATATGCTGAGCTTATAATATGTAATATTTACACAATGTATTTTGGCCCTCATTAACTCAACCACATCCACATTTTCTTGTGAGGGCCCAAAAAAAGATTTACATTTTATTTCTCAGATTCCTAAGTAATACAGTATCCCACACATAGCATACGTATGTAGTATTTCTCCAATTTCTTAAAGACCATGTATGCTAAACTGTTCTGTTAGACTTAAGATGACACACACATCAAATGCATTTATAACACAATTTATTTTGGACCCTATCAGCTAAAAACCACATTTCTATTTATCTATGAAGTGTAAAAAAAAATTAAAACTATTTGGCCTACTTGATTAGCTTTTTGAGCAGGAGAGACCACAGCCAGCTTTTATTATGAAAAAAGGTTTACAATGTATTTTCCTTATATTGTATTTGTTGGTAGGGTGAGGGCAGTAAACACACAAAGGCCTGGAATACAGTAATTGATGTAATGAAGAACTTGCCAACAGTACAACAGCCTGGTGGGGGAGCTCACCCAATTTACAGTCAATGTAATGTAGAGTCAGCAGTAGTAGGCCTGAACTGCTCTCCCTACACTAGCCACTTCACAAATGCATGCCAAAACCTAGGGGCAGGGACTTAAAAAGACTCTGCAGAACCCAAGATGACTGCCAGGGTCATTTGGATGCGGCATAACCAAACAGAACGCTACCCTAGGGGAACCATAGAGAAACCTAATTTCCCTTGACTTCCCTTCCAGCTGCATTGCTGCTCTGGTCAAGTGCAAACCACAGTAGAGAAAATAGACTACACCTGCCTACATGCTGTCTTAATACACACTAATAAAAATCTAGTTTAGACCACACTATTTCAGAGAAACAGTAGTCACAAGTATTCTGGATTATCACAGCAAAGGAATAGGCTGCAAATCGAAGGGCATAATTTAACCTGCAGTAATCTCTATAAATGTTACAACTGGAGAGCAGCATCATGAGCATTAGAGGTGCCACCATGACATTGCCAGAGCAGCATACAGTAATACACTGCTAACATTGAGACACTAAGCTGGAATGACCTTGCATAAAAGTTTTCCAAAATCAGGCAGTTGAGGAACAGCTGTGAAAACAGTAAGTGTGGCACCCTGACATTATCAGAAACAGAATATTACACCACAAACATTCAGGTGCAACGGAGGAGTGACCCTGCTTACAAACATTTTCTAAATTTGACAGCTAAATGGCAACTGCAAAAACACTAGCTGTAGCAATAT